CATGTTTCAAGACCTCTGGGTGATTCTGATGGCCGCTGAAGTTAGAGAAGTCTTGGTTTAGAGATGAGAGACATGGGGTACAGGCTCAAGCAAATCTTGTGCTGTATCATAGTTTCCTAACCCGGAATCCTCAAACAATAGCAGTACCTCTTTCAGAATCAATGTGAGAATTAAATTAATATATGACACCTCTATAAGGTCTGGCACGGTATCAACAATAAATCAAATATAACTATTTATTCTGTAATGGATACTAACGGGTAGTGAGGAGGAACTTACCTTATGCTGCATCAAAGTTCATCATGAGTAGAGATGCTCTTTGTGAGTGGAATTTGACGACCAAGGGGCACAGTGGCTAGGTAGGAACTCAGCTATAGAAACAGATAGATCTGACTTGCCAACAAGGTCCTCCATGGATTAACTCTATGAACACGTGTGAATTATCTCATCTCTCTAAGCTTCGTGTCCTCATTTAGAAAATTGAGCAAATACTTTCTTCACAAGGTAAAAAGAAAGATTAAATACCATATTGTCTGTTGCTTTGGAAAGTTCCTGTTGCCTTTTAAGTATCCCCTACCCAAATGAAAGCTGTCAGTGATGTAATGATAACGTGTGCCTCTCATCACCTTAACTAAGGGCTTCTTGTTCAACAGAATATTAGAGTGATAGCATCTAAGGCCCTTTTATCGCCCTGAAAAGTTTGTCTTGTCAAGATAAACTTAAATGTTGATTTAGAAGCAATTTAACGAGAATTTATTTGCCTTTCCTATGTTGTCCTTAGAGGTCAAGCAAATCTTTCTTCCTACTTGAATCTTGTTAGATTTGGGTTTCTTTTTCTATTCTGTGTTTAGTCATAGACCAACATTCAGAGTTTACATTAGGGTATTTCAAGACTTTCCATATTTCCTTTAAATACCGTATCATTTAGGTCAGGCATATAATCCTAAGACACAAAAACATGTAGTAAGAGTGTCCCTGTGGTCAGGCTTTCACTAGATTTTGCCTCAGTAACAATCCCTTCCAAGAATCCAGTGGCTTAAGCAACCAGAGTTTTTTGTCACTTGTGTTGCAAGTCAGCTTTGGCTTAGCTGTAGCTGGGCTGCAGGTGCCCCCCTCTCCCCATTCCCCAGAAGAAGGAACAGCCCATCTGAGACCCACCTGAGACCCTGCCATGAGTCTGATGCCTCTCTTCAGGTGTGGTGTGAGTCACCGCAGCTCACACCCCATTGGCCAACACAGTCATGTGACTACATCTGACCCAAAAGGATGAAAACAGATTCTCCACCCCCATCCCCAGGGACAGGCCCAAGGAAGGATTCCTTATAGATGGACCCAGCAGAGAAGAGCAGCAAATAACTGGAAGCCACAATCAGCTATAAACAACCAAAAATGACCCTAGCTTTGTCAGTTTGGATCCAACTTCTTATCCTCAAAACACGGAGCAAGGTAGAGGAAACTCAGTTGCAAATTTCCCATCATCTCCACTGGTGCTTCCCCTCAGATCATTAAGATTCTTACGGACAGGAAGGACCAATTCTACGGCTTCCCAGAAACTGTCATTCTTCCTAACCATCCTCAGTCCCCAATGGCCTGATGGGAAAAATGGGTTTGCAGAAGGAAAATGTCATTTCCCCGACAGATAAGAGCCATGGAGCCACCCTTTGGAATCTGCTGAGAGTCAACTTTGTCCACCTTCTTCTTTTTCAGTAGACATGCCCATTTCTGAGGTCACCTTGGCAAAGTCAACCATGTCCTCAGCTGACATGGATGGAATTGACGACTTCATAAAGAACAGTCAGACCAGCCACTGAAGCGAGTAGTAGACTACTTTGAAGAGCAGGGCAGAGTATGGCATGAGGCCAGAGCCAAAGGTCCCAGCACATGTATTTGTGTGGCCACAGTCACAGGATCCAAAGAAAGGATAGCCAAGCCTCACTGATTTTATTTTCAATTATTTTTAAACCCTTTGAGTTCAGTGAACCCCAAGTACATTCTTGTCGAGCATTTCTTTTTCTACTTACTAAACGCATGGTTCCTTAATGTGAAATTTAATCCAGGTATTTTGGATTCATAGCTAAGAGATCATGCAAAAACTGTTTTGTTAGAAATACTTGATGTCCAAAGAAGCTTTTTAAGCAACTTTTCCTACAAACAGGAAACTGTTTTGATAGAGCTTTAAAGTCAGATACCCTCAAATTGCAATTTTCATCTGGAAATCCAAAGTTATAGCTTGATTTGGATTTCATTACTTCATGCCTCCCCACCCCCTTTGAAGTTACGTGGAATAACGTCACTTGAGCTTTGGCTGAAGGACTCTGCCTCCTCCCTATTTTGTTATTAGCTATTTTTCTGTAGATGAAAGTTGGTTATTTTTCTGCCCACCAGGGAACACAGAATGAAGTTTTTATCATGATGGGCAAATTGAAAGCTCCCAAAATTTGACTCAACGGAGCACTAAGTTTTTAGAAGGAATCAGTGTTGTACTAACTAGGAGGGGGAAAAATCATTCTTTAATGCTTTAAAAAATCAGTACTTATCATTGGCCCACTAGGTAATTGGCATTCATCTATGAGGATGGTGGAGATAGGACATTTCTGAAAACGAACAACCAGACGTTTTCAGTACCTGTGTGCAACAGTGTTATTTTTGAATGTTCCGGGGAAATGAGGGGATAAGGGTCTTCATCAAGAAGAGAAAAGCTATTGATGTCATTTGAACTGTATATCATATTGTGGTAGTTAGATGACATAGTGTGGTATTAGATCTGCGAGCTGTTAGATGTGCAAATTCTTGGGCTCCGTCCCAAACCTACTGATATCAGAAACTCTGACCCTTCCAGGTGATTCTGATGCAGCTAAAACTCGAGCACCTTTGTCAAGGGGCAGAGAGGGTAGGCATGGGGGCTTCACATTGTGCAGCTGTTGGGAACTTAGGTGAGTCGCTTAACCTTTTTGTGCCTGTTTCCTCCTCATGGGGATAATGATGGCACTTGCCTCATGATGTTGGTATGAGGGTTAATTAAGTTCATGTATGGAAGGCATGAGAACGATGATTACAGTGCTGTAGTGTTAACTATTTATGATGATGATTATAGCTTACCTGAATCTTTATTTTATTATTGTCCTTGTTATTATTTATCTGCATCTTTCCCACATTGGACAACTTCTGACTCTATTCTGACTCTATTCATGCTTATTATTTGCATACATATTTCTTCTAATTGGTCAGTGGCTTTCTGGTCATTTATAGATTGATTTCTCTCTGATAGGACAGGGTGTTCCAGCTCAGTGCGGCTGATTTCTTTGATCAACCATTCTCCTAAGACCCTCTTTCTTTGACAGAATTTTGTCCTCCCTGAGGAAATGATGGGAACTCCCTTTCATATTTCCATTCTCATTGTTTTGTCCCCAAGACTGGATGTGTAGTTCTTCATATAGCTAAATACCTTTTTCAATGTGCTTACTCTTTAGTTCTGCTTCAAAAATATGTTTTTCTTTCCTTTATCTTCAGAAAACAAATGCTCCACGGCATAGGCAAAATGACTTCATTCCATGTGTGTGTTATTGGCTTGAAGTAGGAGAGGAATGTTGCCCTCTCCATTCAGTAGTTTCAAGGTCTTCACCTCAATAAAGATAACACCGTTCTAAGATTACAATCCCAACCCACGGGCTGGAACAATATAGTGAAAACTGGAGAAATAAATACAATTTCCAGAGACTAAAGAAAACTATAATGGTTTCTAGGGAATATTGCTTATTTGTGGGATTAGGAGAGGGGAATTTAGAGAATACCTTTTAGTGTTGTTTCCAAACTTAGCTTTTGGAAACTGCTCTTATTTCTTAACATTTTAGAAGTGAAGCCAAGTAGATTGCAGAATCACTAAGGAAAAAATATCTAAGGTAGTGACATAAAATTATATGAAATGAATGTGTATAAACAATGAAGTAGACTTCACGAAGAAAGTCTGCTGCAGAATACAATACCGTATATTCAGAGCATATGATGAAGTGTAAATGATAAAGCATACAGGTAAGATTGATGAGTACAAAGAAGGAGATGCTGGATCTTCACAGATGATGATTACAGTGATAATAGTTGCAGATGCAAATGGATAAGAAATCGTTTGCCAAACACTGCAAACACACTGGGGGAATCAAGTGTGCGAGAGGCTATCCAGGTTGATAACGGGGATTATTGGCATGATCAGAGAGTACTTATTATAACTATTTACAGTAACTGGTGGATCAGAAAGGAAGTGTGAAGGGTATGTATACACCTGGGTGTAAGACAGACAAAAATGTGGAGAGATCTACAGATATATATCTTAGGAAGAAGAACTCCAGAAAAGCAGGAGGCGAAAGAACCCTTTGAATTTAGAACAGATTATGTTAAACTTTGGAGGCTAAAGAGGCATTTGTGGTGTACTGACAAGAACTCCAGTCTAGCTTTTAAAGACTTTGGACATTTTTCTTTCTGCCATGAACCATCTTTGTGAGGCAGACCAGTCAACCTCCAGATTTATCTCTTTGTTTGAAAAATGCGTGTCAGATGCCTTGGGTTTGACAATATTTTCAGCTCTGATGTTCTGTGACTCAACAGTAATAATGCATTTCCACAGGCGGTAAAAATATTCTAGACTCTTCCCTTCCAATGCTCACTGTTTACTTCCTCTGCACTTCCCCTTCCTGCCTCCCTGTTTGCTGGCCAGTTGATAGTGGGCCTCAATGGGGGTGAGTTAACCCACTCTTTCCAGGGTGTTTTACTATTAAGCTCCCTCCAGAGGGTGGGAATTCTATAGGGAAGGCAGTGATTGGGGCTTCAATTTAATTCTTAAAACATTCCTTGAGCCTTTGGTCTATTCTGGGCACCATGCCAGATGATCAGGGATTGTAAGGTGAATGTTAGGGCTCTAGCCCTGGGGGGAACAGTTAAGGGTCGGTTTCACTGGGTCAGTCTCTTTGTAAACACCTGTGAACTCCACGCGTACCTCTTTCTTTCAGGCAGAAGCAGAATCTCATGTAGCCAGGTGGGTGAAGGGGAGCGAGGACGTCCCACCTGCCTTGAAGAAGACGCCTTCTGACCTGCTGAGGGAGTGACCAGGTAGTAAACAGTCTGAGGGCACAGGGCATTGAGAGGGAGGGAAAAGGTGTTTACTCTTTGAGTGTGGTCCACCAGCCACTCTTTTCCACAATGAGATGTTAAAACCGAGACCCCCCACCCCAGAGGCTCTAGGTCCTTGTTCCCCCTTTAAGACCACCAATCTCGGGTGGCTATTGGTGTCCTTACCTCCAACACTGGATATGCAGAAATGTAACAAAAGAGCTTTTAGCAGAAAGAGGGAAAGAATCCAGCTCATCCCAAAGCCTGGCCCATTGCCCCTTTTAAAGAGAGGTTAAAACAGAAGCTTCATGGCATTGCCTTCATGTAAACAGGGCCAAGTTTTCCAGAATCTGGCAGCCAATTGAACTTGGAGCTTCGCTCATGCCCGCAGGACACTTGTATGTCACTCACACTTGAAAACTTATGCCTCTGTTTTTATTTCAGTGGATTGAATGGCATGACTTTCTTCTAGCAGTTTCTCTCTCTCTTTCTTTTTAAAGTGCATGTGTTTACTTGTACATAAGCTGCATTTGTTTTTGGCAGTGCTCGTGATCTGAGCTTGACTAGGTGTTTGGGCATGGTGGCATGGCGTTTGGTTCCCAGTCCTTCGTGGTGGTCACTTTCCTCTTGGTTACTGAGAAGTGCCACTGAGGAGCTGATAAAGCCTATGCTCATCAGTTATATCCTGTATTTTTCTTCTAAACTGATCTCCAAACAAGTGGAATAGGCTTCAACAAGAAAATAAATTCTCAATAGCTTAGGGTGCTTCTTTGCAATGAAAATGAAAAAGTAACTTTCCTTTCCAAGAAAAAAAAAATCATTTCAAGGGCAATTCAGTAAATGACACGCTCTTAATATAACAGGAAAATTAAAAAGCACAACAACTCCCTGCATCCTCAACAAGTGTTAGCCTCTGATGGATGGTTTCAGTTTCCTTGAAAAAGTTTGCCCAGAAGATTGCTTCCAAAACTTCTATTGAGATAATGCTGCTCTAACAGCAAAGGTTATTGCATGAATCACAGACCACTGTATCCAGGTCCTTTTGAAAGAAGGAATTTTTCCTTTATCCTTAAAATGCCAATGAGGTGGGAAAAAAGATGCCAAGCAGGTAGAGCTACCCTGTAATCACTCACATTATCTTTTTCAAGGAATGTAGGGTGACTGATTTCAGTCACCAGGCAGGTAGTATAAGATGCCATATGGCCTCACACCCAGCTTGTTCCGGTCTGTTGATGCAGAGGGGAGCGTTCCCTGGGACTTAGCATGGAAGTCCAGCTTCTAAGTGGGTCTGTTCTGCCACAATGTTGGGTGCCTATACTTACCTACTTGTTTTTAGCTTTTTTTCAAGAGATTCCTATGTTGGTTCTAGTCAGTTCTAAAGGAGTAAAGCAGAAATTTTGTGACATTCCTAAATGTCATACCTAATATGACATTTTGATAAGCAGCATATCAACCAACTACTAATAAAGTCTAATTATTCACTATGTGTTTGTTGTTCGTTGGTTCGTAAGTTAGTCCTTTCCAATGTCATCAAGAACTAAGAGAGGTCATGGATTCTAAATTATTCATTGGATTGGGGGGAAAATGAATTTCTGTTGCAGAGAATGTCACACAAAAGGGTAAGTTTTTAAAAGTTTTATTAATATTACCAAAGTTTTTTAAAGTTTTATTAATATTACCAAAGTTTTTAAGACATGTATTAATATTCTCTATTGCTATATCAAAACTATCTTATAGATGGTACATTTTAGTTATATCAGTACTGACCCTATGCTCAGTCAAATTATGTTTAAATTTCCTAGAATTGGAAATCTGTGCTAGTTGACGATACATGTATATTCATAATACTCAGTGGGGTAGATGCATGTGAGTGTGATTTCATGAGAAGATTGGCATCATTTTTTGAGCATACGGCTTTGTTTTGGCACTTTCTAGTTATTATCTCATTTAACCATCACAAAAACCTGAGGAGTAAGTTGTATTCCCATTTTATAGATTAGGGAGCTGAGATCCAGAGAAGTTAAATAGCTTGCCCAAGGTCACACAGCAAATAAATGGGAGAGTTGGCATTTAGCCCAGGTTTGCTTGTCTCCAGAGTCCATGCTCCTCACTCCACCCTACTGTCTTCTTCAAGTACTAGTAGACTAGTCTTGGCTTCCAAATTCTCCTTTCTTATATACGTCTATATGCATTCCTACATATTTCACATGGTTATCCTATTTCTGTTCTCTGGATGTTCTACCACATGTGACAGTAAGGGAATGTCTTTCTTTGCCATTTCCTTAGGTGGTTTCAACAGCCTGACAATGGACGCCATTCACATCAGCATGTCCAGTGGTCCCCTGGTGAAGCACACTGCAGGAGCTGGACCCAAGACCAGCAGACCCCGAGTCATGTCCAAGAGTGGGCACAGCAATGTGAGAATTGACAAAGTGGATGGCATATACTTACTCTACCTTCAAGACTTGTGGACGACCGTCATTGACATGAAGTGGAGATACAAGCTCACCCTGTTTGCCGCCACATTTGTGATGACCTGGTTCCTTTTTGGAGTGATCTACTATGCCATTGCATTTATTCACGGGGATTTAGAACCGAGGGAGGATGTTTCGAATCACACCCCCTGCATCATGAAAGTGGACTCTCTCACTGGAGCGTTTCTCTTTTCCCTGGAATCCCAGACAACCATTGGCTATGGAGTCCGTTCCATCACGGAGGAATGCCCTCATGCCATTTTTCTGTTGGTTGCTCAGTTGGTCATCACAACCTTGATTGAGATCTTCATCACAGGCACCTTTCTGGCCAAGATTGCCAGACCCAAAAAGCGGGCAGAGACCATCAAGTTCAGCCACTGCGCAGTCATCACCAAGCAGAACGGGAAGTTGTGCTTGGTGATTCAGGTGGCCAACATGAGGAAGAGCCTCCTGATTCAGTGCCAGCTCTCTGGTAAACTCCTCCAGACCCACGTCACTAAAGAAGGGGAGCAGATTCTGCTCAACCAAGCCACCGTCAAATTCCACGTGGACTCCTCTTCGGAGAGCCCCTTCCTCATTTTGCCCATGACATTCTACCACGTACTGGATGAGACGAGTCCCCTGAGAGATCTCACACCCCAAAACCTGAAGGAGAAGGAGTTTGAACTTGTGGTCCTCCTCAATGCCACCGTGGAATCCACCAGCGCAGTCTGCCAGAGCCGCACATCTTATATTCCAGAGGAGATCTTCTGGGGCTTTGAATTTGTGCCTGTGGTTTCTCTCTCAAAAAATGGAAAGTATGTGGCTGATTTCAGTCAGTTTGAACAGATCCGAAAGAGCCCAGATTGCACCTTTTACTGCGCAGATTCTGAGAAGCAAAAACTTGAGGAGAAGTACAGGCAGGAGGATCAGAGGGAAAGGGAACTGAGAACTCTTTTGTTACAGCAGAGCAACGTCTGATGGCAGCGGTCACCCCAGGTTTAACTCTGTGAGCTGTTTCCACATCTGAGCTCCCTTCGAATGCAAAGGTCACTGTGAAAATGAAAATGTGTGGATTCATTCTAAAAAACTATACAGACATACAAAATCCATTTTTTTCCTTTGATCTGGCACCTAAGCAAACATTTCCACATTTGAGAAAGTTCCTTTTTAAAATGCTTTGTCTGAAGCAAACTCTCAAAATTCCTATTTTCTAAAATGGGGCTATATTTCCAAAAACGTGGTGTAGGACAATTGAAATAATGTTGTGCTGGGTGGACAGACATTTAGCAATGCTGGTGTTGAAAGGAAATGCATTTCTATACAGGATATCAGCTATAACTTAAGGTATTTATTCAAAACAAGTATCAAAGACGTTGGGCTGAGAGTTGAAATGTGGTTCAGTATTCCTTTATGCCATTGCTTTACAACACCCTCTTTTCGAGCAGAGAAAATGTTATCTTTATTGGAAGCTATCTGGCAAGTCAAGGGGACTCTGTACTCACAAAAATAATAAAATTATAATAATTCCATTCTTACCTGTTTTCATCAGATTTAATTGTACAGAGTGAAATTGAACAAATCAGGAGTTAACAGTTGTGAAAACAGACACGAATGGAGTTGACTCTTTTGTTCACAGTAATTTTCTTTGTTGGAACGTTCTAGCCATTTTCTATTCAAAATGTAGCTCACAAACCAGCAGCATCAGCACCATCTGGGAGTTTATTAGCAATATAGACTCTCAGGCCCCACCCAGACTTAGAGAAACCAGAGACTGTAATTTCATAAGACCTCCAAGTCATTTCAGACAAATGAAAGTCTGAAAAATGTCCACCCAAGAAAGTGTTCAAGGGAACTTTCTGAAGCCACAGCACCCTCAGGGTCCCAAACCCACATGGCCTCCAGACCTGTCCTTCTTTCTTCAGCTTATTATTATGGGCCAATATTCTTGTCAGCCACTTCATTCCTTGTCTATTAAAATACCTCGTTTGCCAAGGAACTGCCACTGATATCCCAAGATTGAAAAAAGTTGCCTGAGAGTAATGGTTGTCTCACTCATGCTAAGCACATGCTTGTTGACTATCGTTAACACAAAAGGAAAATGAAGCCGCATTACAATTGGAAATTTGCTCAGATGTTGAAGTCCACAAGGTTGGATGGGGCCATGAGGAACAAGAAGACCTGAGGATAATGAATTCATATACAGATGACTCCTTGAAGCATGAACGAAATTTGATAATCTGATGATATGTAAAGAATGCCCTCAGTATTTAAATAAATCTCATGCAACCGAGTGGTATGGGGTAACATTTTGCTCTTGGCAGAACTTGGGGGCCAGGAACCACATTTTGGTGGGCAAAGGATATACATGGGCGGGGATTGGCTGAATGTGCAAAAGGTGAATTCTCATTTCATTCAAACCAGGGCAGACTTGTGTATTCACTCAAGAAGAGTGTGACTGTAGGTAGGTAGGCACTGCATAGGCGTACACGTGAACCCACATACATGTACACACAGGCACGCACACACACCTGCAGGCACATCCTGGCTTTTCGAGCATACTTGTGGAAATTGAAAGGTGTTTGCAATTAAGACAGCAAGTCGTCAACAAGTGTGCTCACATATGCTTTGTTCTATAAAAATGGGGACACAGGGGCTCAGAGAAAAAGGGGAAATTAATCTGGATTCGGGTTATCAGTGAAATGATGCTATGGATTACAGAAAATGTGGTCATATCTTTATGCTACCACATTTTCAGATGTCCTTCCGTAGAAGAGAAGATGTAGCTGAAACCTCTGACCTGGAGCCAAACATCTAACACAGATGTAAGAATAACAGGGGTAAAGTTAGTTCTAGAAGTTTAAGGGGCAATTTCAATGCACAAGAGGCTTTTTCTTTTATTATTCAGAAATGTTTTCTCTCTTTCTGTTGATAATTTAATGACAGATTGTTTTAATTTCTTAAAAAAATTACACTAGTTTAGTTAGACATTAGCTCTTTTAGTTATTATATGTGGTTTTTTTATTGTCTATTGTGCTATAATCGACAGGAAAATAATGCCACAGGCATGTTTACAGGCTTTCTGTTGCACTATTAAATTCTTTACACAGGATTTACATCAGTACTAATTTGAATGTGATCAAGATTAGGAATCTTGCATACTTACATTGTATTTGGTACACTGATGTAGTGTGAGATGGAGAAATCTTTTGTTTATTCATTTAGTATATCTATTTCAGCCAAATCTGGAGGACTTGATCACTTGATCTTTTGCACTATACACAAAACAAATATGCAGTATCTTAAAAGCCAATACTTGTACAAGTCAATAAACCATACTGTAATATAATATTCTGTAAATAGTTCTAAACTTGCATCTGGTTTGAAAGTTAGCATTTCCTTACTTATTATTACTTTGTACACAATACTCTGGTGTTAACATACTAACAAAAGATGTTAGGTGGCAAACTTATTTGATTAAATCTGGATAGTCTTTTGACTGAAACAGATTTATGCTCAACACCTAAGAAGTAATCAAACTAATGGAACGTTGTTGACCCAAAAAGGCTTTTGCATTTTGAAACTTTTCCAACGCATCAGGCCTTCTCAGTGAGACCATTCAAAAATGTCATGTTCCGTTTGAAAAACCACAAAGTAAATAGCAGTAAATCAGTGTAATCCGCAAGCTGTGTCTTATTTCAATAAGAAAATATACTGTACGTGCGTGGTATCTGGTAGTCAATGGTCCCAGACAGCATAGCCAAGATTCACTCATTGATCCTCCCAAGGAGCCACCTTTGGAGTTGGGGTGGAGTCGCACATTGGTTCCCTTTCTCATGCAGAGGGATATTAACAGCGCCAGAGGAGACTCCAGAAATGTAAAATAACTGGCTAAAAGTGAAAAATGCCATGAACAAGTGGACCAGGTTTTGAGATGACTCTAAACAATGATTCATTTGACTTTTTTTTAATTGAATTTTCTATTTTAATTAATGGTGATTTTGATACCATTAAATGTAAATTAAAATCTATAAATAAGTGACACTTCTACTCCTGTATGAGTCTTTCTCTCTTCCTTGGATCCTCAGCACTCAGATCATCTGGAGAAAGAAGGAAAGAGAGACAAAAAGCAAAGAAGGCCCTAGGCCTTTGCATTGGTAGCTCAGTAAAGGATCATCCTCACCTTCGGGCTTGGTTCTGTATTTTGTCACTATAGTCAAAGGGTCAGACATTTGACCGTGTGGCAGCATGAAGACTGCTAGTCTCTCAATCTTGGTTTTTCATTCTTGCTGGACTTTTCTTTGCCTGCTAAACATTTGAAGCAAGTAATTTTGAATGCAGGTTGTTTTATCAAAGCTTGCTGGGATGGTATTTTTTAAATGAAATGTTAGTATTTCAAGTCCTGATTTCCATGTTCTGTGGCGTGCACTCGAATTCCAGCATTTGACTCTAGATAGGTCCAAGATGCACTTAGTTTTCTTCCTCTGGGAAGACACACTTGGATGTCTAAAGTTTAACATTTCACTCCTAATTGATTAATTACCTACATTTACCCCTCTGTAAACTTCAGTTTATCTTTCATCAGAATGGGCTGCTCACCCCTTCTCGGGCCTGTGGACAGCAATTTTCTTAGCCTTTAAGAAACACTGATGGCTTAAGTCCAACTTTTTCCCCGAAATTTTCTGCTAAATACTTAATGAAAAAGAAACAGGAGGCAGAAATAAGGCTTCAGCCAGTTCATCTCATCTTCATCTTCTGTCAGTTCTGCTGAGCTCAATTTCCTTTCTATTTAACACGTGCTTCACTGGCTCTTCTTCATCTTTGTTATCTACTCTATTAAGTCAAATCATCCTGTGGGTTAAAAAGAGTTAACTCAGATTAGTAATTTGGGGATATTTAGATGGCCAAAATTTGGGGACAGGGATTTTTATTTTTCAATTGGTATGTTGCTGGTGTATAAGAAATAGAAAACCAAGGGGCACCTGGGTGGCTCAGTTGGTTAAGCATCTGCCTTCAGCTCAGGTCATGATCCCAGGGTCCTGGGATTGAGCCCCACATCAGGCTCCCTGTTCGGCGGGAAGCCTGCTTCTTTCTCTCTCCCCCTGCTTGTGTTCCTTCTCTCTCTCTCTGTCTCTGTCAAATGAATAAATAAAATCTTAAAAAAAGAAAAGAAATAGAAAACCAAGAGACAGCTGGTAATTGCAGTTTATAGTTAATTCCTAAATTACAATAATTGATTGTGGAAGTCAAAGGACATAATTGACATAGGAGTACAAAAGCCAAACATGTCCTATGTGTAGGTAAATCCATATAACTCTGAATAGTAATGATAATACCAGAGTGAAGACTGCCAGGCATGCTGTGTCTACAGGATATGTCTCGTATTTAATGATTTTTGTCCTTCATCCTGTATGGACTTTATTAAGACGTCGTAAATGTTCTGTATTCATTTTTCCCCCCAAAAATTACAAAATTGCACAGCCAATTAGAAAAATCTTTCAAACTTAATGTCTTGTATTTTTATTTGCTAAATCTGACAGCCCTGCAGAGAGTACTCACTTAATCCCAAGCTATGCCCATCGCTAGAAGAGCAACAAACAAACGTCCCTTCATTTGGAAGCAACAGGTTTCATACAACAGGCAACAAAGAAAGGGAGTATTCCAGAAGGATATTTCCCTGGTTTGCCCCATTAGTAAAAGTAAATTTCAGCAAAACCTGGAGGGACCCTGATACATTCTGTGCAGTGCAAAATGGCATGTTCTTCGAGGCTGTCTATCAAGGAAAGGCCTAGAATGGTGGGTTCAAAGTCCTCTGCCACATGGCATACAGGAATCCTGGTTCCCAATCCCCACCAGAGAATCAGGCTGATGGTTAGGGTGGATTCCCAATGAAAGCCAAAAATGGAGAAGTCAACGGAAGAGTCCATCACCAAGCTTTTGCTTAGTAGCTCCCACTTCATGATGGTGTACTTCACTGCACCGGGGGGCTTATCTTCATTCAAGGTCAAACCATATCTAGTATCCAGGCATTCCCAGCCCCCGAAGATACCCAATTTCACCCCTCAAAAATGTAAAGGTAGAACCCACTCAAAATTAGACTCCAAGGAAGGTACCACAATTGATTATAGAGTACCTATTCCCTAAAATAATAACAACAATAACAATAATAATAATATAATAAATCAGAAGTTGTTGACTCTAAGCAAGGAAATATGACCTCTTAGCTTATCATTACTATTATTGTTATTATTGCAAATGTCCTTAATATTATGGAAAAAGTAAAAAACTTCCAAGAAGGTGATTGGAGGGGAATTCAAAGGAGTGATTTTTTTCATTCACTGTAATTTAACTATGTTCTTTCATCTGCAATCAAATCTTAAGATTAAGGATGTTGTATTAAATCAAATCATTACAGGAAGTATGACTATATCAGGGGCTTTTTACAAAAACAAACTTCCAGATCACCAGAGGAAGCTGTGTTTGTGTGCTGACAGAGTATTAAATAGCAAGCAGGACAGGAAGGCAGGATAACAGCCAACTTGGATCTATTTTGGAAGAATTATTTCTGTAGGGTGTCATGGAATTGTAAGTTACAAAAAGTATGCTTTGGTAAACAGACATCTCCATTCCAAAAGGACCCACTCCAAAATACCACTTAATCAAATTCACGATAATATTATGGAGATCAAAATTCCAAATAACATGCAGATTTTACAAGCTAACAGTCCCACTGCTTATAAACCCTGGCAGCATGTGCATAGCAAAATCTTGATTACACCTCAGTCTCTTGCTACATACAGCACTATTCTGATTGCTATACTGTGCCACAAGATGAGTGTCCTGCTTCCCTCTGACTTTTGAACGGGTTTTATGCTTGGATTTGCCTAAGCAGAATCATGACTTGCATTTCTTAATATTGAGTTACTATTGGTGGATGTTGGAAATCTCACACTAACAGATACGTATGCTATGTCACCACCAAGCCCAATCAGACTATGACCAATCAGCTTGAAATATGTACTTTCATGTTCTACAAACCTGCACCTCTATTCATCAAGGCATTTCTTGTTTTTATAGGTATCTCCTCCTTTTCCTGTTTATATAATGAATCCATCTAGTCTGTGAAACAATAGCAAATACAATAAAGCTCATTTTACGGTCTTGAGTTTCTTTGTATTTCATTGGAATGGTAATGGTGTCGCAGTGGCCTTCTAGTAGGGAGGGATCAGAGCTCAGAGGCTGTTTCCAGTGATAGCAACTACAATAATTTGGGGCTGAGTAGGTTCTGAAACCTTGTAGAGATGGGATTATCTGTCAGGGACTGAAAGAATTTATTTTTCCTTCCATTTTAATCAAAGAAAAGGAAATGAGACCCTGTCTCATCTCTTTCTTTTTCCTTAATGCTCTAGCAATCATTTCATTTTCGTCACTGATTAAGGAATGGAGTAACTATTCAACAACATCCTTTCGGCACCTCATCCCTGACCAAAGTCCTTCATGTTCCATTGCTTTTTTACTTTGATGGATTAAAACAAAGAAAACACATGGTTACGTAACCCTTAAAGGCATCAGTCTGGGTGTAACTATGGAACAACACAACTATTTAAAAGCCACACAGCCGAGGTAGGCACTGGGACAGCTGTTGTCCTGGGAGCACCTTGCTGAGGAAACCATACACACACACAACAGAATAGCAGCCATAGCTCCAAGCCCGCAACAAGTGTCTCTTTGGAACCTTATCTTTTGGAATCTTGGCTCATCCACTGCAATGTTCTCAGTGGCGGCAAGACTCTGTTCTTTGAGCGAGAATGTGACAGGTGGAAATAAAGAAGGCTGGTGCCTATAGTAAGAAGTCAAATTTGAGGATGCTGTCTGGGCAGGAAAAGAGAATGTTTTCCAAAAACTGCACAGTAATTTGGAACACAATAAGGAGGCTTGGGAGCAGGAAACATTTCATTAATTTCAATTTGCACTGAATTTCTCCGACCCATATTTTTTTCTACCCCATTATCTCAAGAATCTGCTTGCCCTTGTAGGGTCACCTTGGCCAAGAATTGAGCTCTCCACGTCCAAGACATAAGATAGCCTTCACCACACTATATCCCTGGGGCGGTGAATATGGGCATTTGTCACAGCAGCGCGGGAAGCCTTGCTTCTGGGCTAGAAACAATGCATCCTTGCAGCTGTCATTTCTCTTCTCAGAAATCCTGGGTTTTGGTAACCTGCCTTCAAAAATGTCAGACAAACAAGTTTAAGGGTTTAATGTTTCATGCAAAAGTCCATGCAAAAGTCCTGGAAATTCTTATTCATTTGAGTTGTTTTGCCAAATTTTCTATATCTTTACTTGAATTTAACATATCCCTTATAGGGCCTAGCCTGTAGTATATCTGAGGGTCCCAAATGTATTTTCACCCAAGGACCACTCTCTGTACTTCTTAGTTAGCCTTTCTGAGTCTGTCAGAAACTCTTGCTCTTGACAGCACACATTCCGAAAAACTCCCTTTACATGTGATTTAAAGACCTACCACAAGTCTGCTACAAACAACAGACTCACAGTTTTACACCAACATAGAACATTGTGTGCTTTTCCTTACCTCTCCACCCAGTGCATCTGGCTGACCTGCTACATGTGAAGCATGTTGTAGCATGTTCTATTGCCAGTACCCTTCTTCTGCTCA